AATGATATAGAAATGGTATATTAGATAAATAAAATATTTATAGAAAAAAAGAACTGCTTGTACAATACAATATTTTTCTGTAATTATATAATAAGTTGCATGCACACATATGTTTAAAGTTTTTGATTGTGCTTCGATTTATGCTGATAGAACTTCTTCAGCACATTTTTTTAATACATTCAATGCAAAATCAATGTCATTTTGATTGAGAAGAGTAGAAATACAAAGTCTGAGACTGGGCCTAGGTAAACTTTTTTCTGTTTCTAAGTACACAGGGGTTATAACTGCTAAATTATTTTCAATGCACATATCAGAGATTTTAGTAAGTAATTTTTCTTCTGTAGTACGGTCCATTCTGTTTTTCAAATATACATGTTTTACTGGAGATTCTGTAAAACTTGAACATTCTAAGCAATGAATGTTTTGAAGACCATTATTTATAGCTATACAATTATCTTTCAATGATTTAAATATACATGGGTTGTTTTTCATAATATCTAGGGAAGTAATAGCAGCAGATGTTAAGAGAGGTGGCAGTGACGCGGAAAAGCAATATCCAAGACCAGATAAGCGTTGATGTTCAATAATAAATGATGTGCCTACACAAAAACCACCAATAGATCCCATTGCCCAATCCAGAGATCCTAAAAATTATATAAAATATAATAATGGTTAACAACAGTAACTGATTATTAGAATAATGCATTACCAAATAATAAACATAATTTAATAATAATACTTACCTATAATCATATCAATTTCATGTCTAGGAATGTTGAAATGTTCAGTAACACCTTTTCCATATTTACCAAGGGTACCAAATGATATTCCTTCATCAATAAATATTCTTAACTTATATTTTCTACAAAGTGCAACTAACTCTGGTAAAGGACATATATTACCAGTATTCATGTAGATACCTTCAACTATTAAAAAGTGTTTAATTTTAGCTGCTTTTTTGGGATTTTGTTCATCCAGTTTTGCTTGTTTCGTCAATAAATTACAAAGATCATTCACATCATTATGTTTAAAATAGTGAATATTAGCTTTAGATGCATCTAATCCTTTTTGTATGGCAAAATTTACTTTTTCATCTACAAATACATGGTCTTTACGTTTACAATATGCTGCAATTGCAGATGCAATTGTACTAAATCCATATGAATATACAACTGCTTCTTCTGTATCTGTATAATTTGCTAAACATTCTTCTAATTCAAGGTGAACATCAACAGTACCGTAAAATCCACGTGGACCACAAGAACCTACTCCATATTTTCTTACTGCTGCTATTGCATCTTTTTCTATTTTATCATTTTCAGTTAAACCTAGGTAGTTGTGTGTACCCAAATTTAAGCAATCTCTTCCATTAATCACTATTCTTTTACCAGCTCTAGATGTTACACATCTTGGTTTTAAAGATGAATGATCTATTTGTGGATTATTTATAAGGGGTTCAGGTTTCCATTCTGCAAGTTTCTTTTCAATTTCATCTTCAGTTGGTATTCTCCCATTATTACTGTAATATCTTTTACTAATAAACCATATGAGCCAAAGAATTACGAATGTTGCTAGCAATGTATGGTACTGGGGTATTGTACTTAAAATTTCCATTGATTCAAAAAATATGAATTTTGTGTTCATGTTTTTATTTGTACAGTATTCTATGTATGCTATTTATACTTTGTTGGGACTTAACAAACTTAATCACTTTCTATATTTTCAACAAATATATTCTATATATTCAATAAAGTTATGTGTGCAATCTCATTACAGTAAAATATATGCTTCAAAAAGAATCACCTTTTTAAATAATTACACAAATTTACGGTGCTAATATTGTAAGAATTTGAAACTAAGTCGGTATTGCAACATACTATGAAACATTAAATCTGATAAGACAGATACTGTTAAAAAAAATATTAGATAAACCTAATTGTGACTCATCTCAATGACTGCGGTCACTTTTTTTAAGGAAGCAAAGCAAATTCAGATGGCAGCACTAATACTACATATAGGTCAGTGCGGAACACTTGAAGTGTTATTGTAAAATATATTTGAAATTTTGATTTTAGAATATACATACATCGTTGTACATAAAAGTTTTTTATATCTTAATCTTGTTACTATGACAATTTTAGTTCTTAAACAATATTATAGGAATAAGGCAAATTTTTGTAGAGGTAACATTTTTGAACATACGCGCATGTGCGATTTACAACTCTAAACTGGCATAATAGCAAGAGTAGTACTTCCGGTATCCGGCAAACGCCCCAGTGTATGTAGCAATGTTGTCAGATTGAAATCTTGGCACTTGTGTATCGTGTTTGTTGTATTGTTATTGAATCAATTGTCATAAAGTGTCAGTGTACATGCTGCTGAACTTAAATAAGGCTTCTTCGTGGTAAGTAAGTGTATATTTTTTAAGTAACATCCATTAATATATACCACAGCCGCTAGATGCATATTAACTGTGCTGAAAACATTTTGCTATTTATGGGGTTTCTGCAGTTTACATTGCCTATACTTTAAAGTTGTACACATACATATATACATATATGTGGTTGTAAGAAGTGCGGTGTAATACATACTTGATAAGTGATCGAAAAAGCTAAAATTATGGTTTTTTCCGAGAAAAGATATAAAAATGTGTTTGGTTTGGTTATGAACACGGTTATGCTTGTGTATACCTCCTGCTGCGTTTCGATTGTGAGTCATACTTTGCTGCACCTGACACTTGATACCTGGTAACGTACTTAAATATTTGACAATATTGAAAACTATACGAAATTTTATGAAATAAAATATCTAGCTGACCAAGGTACATGTTTACGCTCGTTACAAAAATGAAAATTTATATTTAAAATTTTACAAGTAACATTTAATCGAAGTAGTTTGAATTTGTTATCTATATAAGGATACATCTATTCAATGTATAAATTAATTAAATTTAAATGTATGGTACAAGAATGGAAAAACTGTATCTGATTATCTTTACTTAAAGTTACTATTTTGATTGTCCGATAATTTAGTTCGTTTAGTAATTATTAAAAAATTTATTTCCAAGATTTTGTATTATTAGGTTGGTTATACGATACGGTCCTGTGATTCTGACGCGAGATTAAAATTCCATCGTGAAAGCTGACGAAGTGAGTCCGTTATCATCATTCATCAGTTACACATTGAACGCATCAGTTTTTGTACTTTGTCCATTGTTACCTTTTTTTTTGTAATAATCATTTGTACAGTAGTTAAAAAAAATTATTCAAAATGTCGGAATTTGATAAAACGGTAGAAGATAACTCTCGAATGGTACCAGGTGCTTATAAAAAAGTTTTGAATATGTGGAAAAATCGTGAGTATAAATTAATTTTTGTATAGAAATAATATAACAAGTTATGTATACTAGCATTAGTATATATATAATCGAACAAATCCAAATAACAAAAATTTGAAGAATTTCGAAATGAATATCCTATTAATGAATTACATTGCTATAGTTTTGTGTAAATAAGTCATACAAAGGTATAAACTTTGAGATTATTATTATCTTAAGAGTGAATTGCAAAAACATGAAATTTGGATGCGTATTAACGTTTTACAGAATAGTATTTTTTTTATTTACTTTTACATTGATTTTTAAATTGCGTATTCATTTTAATTTTGTACATTACATTAAAAACCTTAATTTATATTAAAAATTCATTAAAATTTGTACGTATATGTGTATTGGGCAACATTTTTTTGAACAATCAAATGTGTTGCACATTGTAAATTCGTGTTATAATTTATAATATTTGAATTTACTCGGGACAAAAGCTTAATACAATCTATAAAATAACAATATCTCCATATGTTTTTCCTACAAATAATTAGATAAAATTTATAATTATCGGTACAAGTTATTTATCTATACGGTATGAGATATCAGACGTAATGAGTCACTTATTTGTTTGAACGTATTTGGTCATCGTTTCTGATTTTCCGATGGCAAACGTTTGAAAGCTTGAACTTACTATGCATCATACATAATAAAGTGTGTCATTAATACATAATATTTCTTGTAATACTGGAATTTTACAATGAGTAGAAGTTATAACATTATGGAACAATCTTTCATTAATAAACCGTGTACCATTTAGTTGTGATGTTGAATAGTTACAACTTAAAATTCGATAGTTCTGTTAGGATCCAAGTGGGTTTCGAAAGTCCTGTCGTGCACGTGGCTCCTTACCTAAGGAACTTGCAACAATTTCGGGTCTCGACCACCCTGTGGCAGCACCGTAGAGTGCCGGTCGAAACCTGAAGCGGTAGAGTATTGCGCCGGTTACTTCCAAAGTAGACTGTTTTTGAGGGTAGACACTCCACCCTTACAGATTTTGTGCATTTATTCATATTTTTCATTCGTAACGTGCATTATAATTCAAGTTTATCTTCTTTTTTAGTATCAATTATGTCCGAGTAAATCAAAGAGATTGGGAACATTTGTTATTTTTAGGTATTTGGGTGGTGTTCAAAGAGCAAAGCAAACTTTTTATTAACGAACGTTAAGTAACATTGAAATGCTGGTTTAAAAGTGTGTACAATTTCAATGCGCGTTGTAGAGCTTTTTAATGAAAATTGATCCGTTTGTCGGTGAACAATAATCTCGTCTGATACATGATTAATTAATTTACATAGTCAATTATATTGTGCACTATTGAGTTAATAAAAGTGATTCATAGGAAATGAATGTATGTAAATTTCCTTAATGGTTTGAACATTTGTTCGTCTGTAATCTCGTTCGTCGTATTACTTCTGGATATTCAAACGACATGTGCTTGTGATATTATTTAGTTACATATGTGTTTTCATCCATTGTCTTTTTAAAACATATCGAATTGCTAATTATTAACATTATTGTTATTACTACGATTATGAGAGACGTGGGTACAGTTTATATTTGGGAGGTTGGCTATAACTGAAAATCATTACAAGATTAGACGGATTAGACGTGATATGTAGTATATCAAGATAAATGCATGTAACTGAGAATTTTATGATTGTTGTTGTTTTTTTACATATATTTCAAGTAGATTTGACGAACATACAACGTCCATTTCTACTATCAGATTAATATCGAAAATGTAAACTTGGGCGTTGTTGGAATCGATCATCACGCCATCAAGGGAATTTCGCGGGGAAAATATATGTTATAGATCTCGTTCAGTTAGAATTCCTCGAAAGAGTTGTGTTTTCATTGCAAATGACTTTATACCTTTTATGAGAACATTACCAAAGTGTTTCTAAAAACTGTTATTTATAAATGATAATTAAAGTGAAGATTTGTGTTGTTGAACTGTAAAACAAATTTGATACAAGTTATATTATATCTCTGTTATATTAGAGGTAATGGATAAACAGTGTTTCGACATTATACGCTGATTGTTAATATTACATGTTTAGTAATTGCTGTGGAAAAAAGAAAATCAAAAAAGTGTTAATTGCCGATTGTATTGTTTTGGTAACGCGCGTATATAATTGGTAGTGTACGACATTAACGGATGCATAGCAGTATATACACAAACCGGCTGTGAGTAAATGTAATTCATACGGTTGTATACTGAACAATTTATAGTGCGTGATTCCCGTAGGAAATCCGGTTGAAACGAAATATTCGTTCGCCTAGTTTTGTTGCCTGAGAAAGGACCAGCAGAACGTGTGCTTAAAACTAAATTATTCAAATACCCAGTTATTCTTCGGCTGTGAAGGATCAGTGTTGAACTTGAACCTAAATATTAAAGTGTTCTTCTAATCGTCGTTATTATCTTTAATAATATTTCAATCGTCAATAATCGTTATTCATTAAGATATATATATAACAATATTTTATATTCTTACGAGCTTAACTATATTTACGTTATTCAAGTATACTTCATTCTTGTTGACACATATAAAACGTTTCGATAAATTTTACCGCGTCTTTCAAAACGACTGATTCGAGATAATCGATAATTGTGATATAAACGATATCGAGGGAAAAGAACTGTGACGTATAATATACATATATATATACATGCATATATATATATATATACGTATATAAAGGCCTATCAGTTTAAAAGCATAAAAAATTCGGTTGAAAGCACCGAAAGCATTTATTGCTGACACAAGGGAAATCCATAATCGATATTGACGATGTTTAAATGCTGCGTATGCAATAAAAGCTCGAAGAAGGAGAAGCCGAACGGCGAGGTGGCAAAGTCGACGCCAAAGCAAAGTCAGAAGTCGACTGACTCGCAGTTAGCTGGCATCGATTGTTCGAGGTCCGAGGAAAATGGACCGATCGGACGAGAAGAGAAGCTGAACGGTGACGTGCAGAGATTTGAGAAAGTTTCTCCGTCCATGGAGAATAATAGTTCTGCAGATGTTATCGATGACTTGACTGTCAAGAGTCCGTTGCCTTCGAGCAAGCGTGACGAGGTCAACGATGATCCTCGATCGCGAACAGAATCGATAGTGAAATCGAACGACAAGGGGGACGACATCGAAAATGCGAGTGATCGAAGGAAGGTGGCAGCAGAGGAGGGAAGCGGCGAGGCAAATGGAATTAAGGATGCAAGTGTAAATGGAGAGGTGGATGGGAGTAACAATGTAAGCGGAAACGGCGACGGAGGTGGCGCGGGTGGAGTGATGAAAACAATACTGAATACTGGGGCTTCTAGTACCGTAAAAACTAATCTTTATGATTCTACCGCGTATATTGAGAGAACAATCGATGATGGACCAGAGGAGGAAGGCGATGATTCCGTTTTTGAAGCTTGTCCGAATGATACCAACGTGAATAAAAAGACACAGCCAGGTATATTTTTATTGATGCGGTGTTCATTTCTTATCTTTTTTTTTCTTTTTCTTTTTAACTAAATTCAAATATGCAATTTCCTCACTTTGCTGATCATTTTTCCTCCATTTTTTTTTTCTTTGAAATTATATCACGATTGACTTTACATTTGAACTTTGTGGTAATTTGAAAATACAAAAATGAAAGTTAGCGAACTTTGTTGTCGTTCTTGTAGAATTTGGAATATTTTAAATTGTTCAAATTGACGATTGAGAAAATTGCATTGATTAAGTAACTTTTACATGGGACAAAGTGTCTATATTCGGGTATACAATGTGCAGTTTCGTCAATTCCTCGTTGGCTATCGGAGGAGGAAGATGGCGAGCATGACTCGGAAGAGTGCAGCGGAATGCAGGAACCACCGGCGACGCCGGTTGCTCGTGACGAACTAGCTTTAAGGCGTCACAGATTCTTCTCCGATTTGTTGCACGCCGCGCAAAACGCGACGGAGCACAGAGTGAGGTTTGACCCCCTAGGACCGATGGTGCACGCTGGTTAGGGCTCACCCTAAATCCATTTCTTACTTTGTATGATTTTTGAATTTTCCGTTTCAATTCATTTTGTTAGCTTAATTGTATCAGATACAAATGAAGTGATTTATTTATCGAATGTGTTTCATAATAATTGGAGAACCTTTTTGGATGATTGTTTGAGATCACGTCTAGTAAAGTATGTTATGTAAACATATAATATTATCGAGAGATATTTACGTTTAACAGTTACAATTTTTTAAGCTTTACGATTCTATTGACAAATTATCGATACCAAGAGATTTGCACTAAGATTGTAATAATTTGTTGCTTGTTTTTATTTAGATTCGAGAAGTATATTTTGAAAGCCTGATTGTGGGTAAATCTTGAAACAATTGTAACTGTACAGACATTAGAGAACGTATATTTATGTGACATTTTTACTCAAAATTGAACCTGCAATATGATCTTTCAAACAATCTGTCCAAGCTTTTCATACTTGTTCTGGACAGTATATATGTATGTGGCTATATTTTTATTCCATTTTTGATACAACAATGTTATTGCTTTAAGTGTAAGTGTGTCCTTAAGTTATCACAATAGCATATTATACAAATTTAAGGTATCATTTTTTGAGTATTTCTTTTTAAATGTAATTTCTCGTATCTTTACCAAAACTTGTAAACATTGTGGATAACATATCAATGTATTTACGTTATAGCTGATAATTTCGTAAAAGGCTATTATTTCACGAACTGTTTGTTCCTCACTAATATTATGTTTGAGTTGTGACAAAGAATATAACCGCTTTAAAACTTTTCTGTTTTATACATTGTTACCGTCGAGTGCAATATTTTCGTTTTTACTGATCTATGAAATTTTCAACATCTTCTGTGTAATCGAGTATATTTGTTATGATAAAAAGGGAAAATTTACGATTGGTTGAAACACATTTAAAACTAGCCATTTCTATGATCCTTCATTTTTTCTTAGAATCAAAAATTTCTTGTTAATTGTAAGTATAAAGTATACGTATCTAATACACGTTTTTTTTTAAATTTTGTGTACATGATGAATAACTTCAATTATAAATTACGAAATATTTTGTACTTAGGTGTATTTATACATTGAATGTAGGTTATGCAAAGAATTTATAATTATTAAACATTTATAAATGCGTGGGATCTTCCATATAAAATGCTATCTACCCACGCGTAACTAAATTTTCGCAGTTTCCTAAGAATAGGCCGCGGCACACACTCGCGTTGAATATCATTAGAACCGCGGTTTAGTTCATCAAGCGTTTCTGTAAAGGCTAGAGGATCTTGTGTGTAGAAGCTTTCATTCCTGTAGGAAAATAATCTTTGATAAAGAGAATGAACGTTAAACAAAGGATGATCTAAAAATTAGTGTGTCGTTGGTCACAGGTTGAATCGGTAATATATTAATTCATTTCTATATTATTTCACGTCTTTATATTAATTTTAATGTTATGTATAATTTAAAGAAACTTTATATTTGAAATTTATTATTCTACCATTTATAAGTTTTCGTAACAACAATACAACAATATATATTTATTATAACATGAACGTAACGGAAATACCACTTCATTTTGTGTAATTTCTTTTTATAGTTTTTTACAATCTATTATTATAATCTGTGATTATAATAATCATTAATTTGTCTTGTATAAATATTCTCAAGTACACGCAAATGTATTTCTAACATTACATGTTGCTTGCCACATAATGATCTAGTGACTGTGGATGTTGATGTAACTATTTATACATACATTCTATATTTAATGTATCCGCTATATGTGCGAACTTTCTGGAGTACATTTTCTTTAATTACCGAAAATTTGATATTATCAATATTATAGAAAAGTTGTTAGCTGTGCACAAACAAAAATTGGATTTTAATCATTATATATAAAATAGTATAATTACAAGTAAAAAGTAACGATTTTGTCATAAAATTGTACGAATATGGGCATTAAATATTGTTTGCTCTTTAGATGTATTTATAGTTACTTTTTGAAGAATAAATGAAATATGAAAATGAAAATTTTTTAAAAACTTTCATATTAAATATATTAAAACATTTCTTTTGTATCTTATAAAGTATGTATTCTAATTAAAGGTTGTGAAGCTAGCGATAAGGAGGATCATTTGGAAGAACTGGTGAATAGATTAGAAAACGTTACTAAAAGATTGGAGAAAGTAAGAACCCAGTCTGTAACAGAAACTCAAGACTCTGCTGTTCAAACAAATACACCATCACCAAGGAGGTCTCAACCAGTGAAAAATAGTGAATTAGTACAGTCTAACTCACCTGTACACTCAACAGATAAACAAACATCAAGAAAATTTATCAGCATGTCAGTTACAGGATATGAAGATCTTTTAGCTGGTCCTGTAAAAGAATATTTACAACTGAGTGACAAAATTGGTGGTGATGTAGCTACACACAGCAAATTTGTAGAAAAAGCATTTCAGTAAGCACTTCAATATAAATCTCTGTATTTTAAATGCTGTATGTATAAGTTATTGAGCACTGTAATTCTCTTTATAGAATTCAGCTTGAATTTATTCGGACTGCCGCAAGTCGTCCTGCTCCAGTAAACCAATCAGAGCAAATAGCTCTTCTTGCACCTACATCCACACAAATTCAACACATTCAAGAATTTCGTGAGAAAAATAGGGTATCTCAGTTTTTCAATCATTTGTCAGCAATTAGTGAAAGTATTCCAGCTTTGGGATGGGTTGCAGTTTCACCTACTCCAGCTCCCTATGTCAAAGAAATGAACGACGCTGGACAATTCTATACCAATCGTGTATTAAAAGAATGGAAGGAAAAGTAAGTCTCATTATAGATGGCTAATCATGGCTAAATTTTTTTTGTTTTTTTTCTTTACGGTGTATACTACGTTCCTTTAAAATTAATTACCGATGCAGAGTTCATTTAGCCTTTTATACTTGCAGAGATAAAGTACATGTGGAATGGTGCAAAGCTTGGGTACAGACATTAAGTGATCTTCAGCAATATGTACGTCAGCATCATACAACAGGACTGGTATGGGCAAAAACTGGCTCGGTCCCGGCGGGCATACCACCGCCTCCACCACCATGCATGCCTATGGGAGAGATTACACCAGCCAATATTGCCGATGACAGAAGTGCTCTTTTCGCTGAAATTAACCAAGGAGAAGCTATTACAAAGAGTACATATTAATAGTTATTACATACTTTTAGTTTATTAAATAATAAAATTTATAACATTAATTGATATTTCATAGATTTAAAGAAAGTTACTTCTGACATGCAAACGCATAAGAATCCTTCATTGAGAACTGGGCCAGCGCCATTTAAAGCTCAACATGTTGGCGATGCTACATCAATGAAAACACTAACATCTGCAAATGCTTCAATGGAAAAATCTCCTGTATTTACTAGAGATGGAAAGAAATGGCTTGTGGTATGTAATGAGATTTATCGATTTATTGTATTAGAAAATTTATTTTACTCATGAAGTATATGTTCTGTTTGTTATAGCAATACCATAAAGGTAATAAAGATCTACTCATTGACAGCGCGGAAATGAACAATGTGGTTTACATGTTCCAATGTCAAGATAGTACCTTAGTTGTCAAAGGCAAAGTCAACACCATTACTATGGACTCATGTCGTAAATCATCTGTTGTTTTTGACTCTGTTGTGTCGAGTATCGAATTCGTCAATTGTCAGAGTGTACAAATGCAGGTATGTTATTTAGTGTTATTACTAATAAAGAAATTCGTGTTTAGTATCTGGTAGTTTTCACCAAATATTGTGTAAAAAAAAATGTTTATTTCCAAATGGGTACATGTATGTACAACATAATTACACAGAGTACACGTCCTATATTAGAAAATGAAAGAGCAATACTACAAAAAGTATAATAGTGATTATCAATAATGAATTTTATAAATATGCTTGTAATTTAATTCTATTTAAAATTTTAATATTCCGATACAAGTTTCCTACAAACGTTTTGTAACTCTTGTAGATGTATAAAATTTGGTTCCTGATGAAGAATGTCAAGTAACGCTATATATTCTTCATTGTTCAGCTCTTTAGGTGTTCCGCATATTTGAAATTTATTTAATGTGCTTTTCGATGTTCTTAAGACATTTTCTAAATCCGATATTGATGTACTTGTATCGATAACGGAAGGTTTAGCAGTTACGTCGATTTCTCTTTGTTCAACAGATAAGAAACATAAATTTTTTAATTTATCATTTAAGAGCACATTAGTCAAGGGATCATTTTGTGTTTTTAAAGCCGATAAACTAGTTGACGTCGATTGATCTAATTCATCATTATTATTTAAAATGGAAGAAACGACTGTAACAATTTTACGCATTGTATTCTTTTCATTCTCTGCAAAGACCTCTTGAAGTTCTTCATTTTTTTCGTTAGCTTGATTTTCTTCCATCTTCTGTATACTTATTTTTCTATTTTTGATATATTCTAGAAATTTATTTGGATCCACTATTTTTGTGGTATTATGGTCATATTTTGTGAATATGTTAACATATATTACCATTTGTTCTTGCGGTGTAGCATTACTACTAATATATTCACTTATTTTTTGTACAATGTGTGATTTTTGCAATGAATCTTGCTTACCATTATCATCATCATTTCTTTTTTCTACGCATCTGTTTATTTCTTCTACATGTGTGTCACAATTTTTTGCTGTACCTTCGACTTGTATTTTTTCCATTATATCTTGATTTTTATCGCACAAATTGTCCTTCCAGAACATAGTCATCGTTAGTGGTCCCCTTACCGGACTCTTAGGTCGCGTTTCATTTTCGGATCTTCGAGCTGCTTCTAACCGACTTTTCAAAATTGGTATACAAGATCTTGAAGATATTTTTGGTGTTGGTGAGAGAGGTTTTAAATGATCTTTTAGTTTTAATTTATTTTCAAATGATTCAGTATAATTTACAAAATTTGTATTGCTTGGAGATTCTCGTGATTGTAGAGTAAGTTGTTTTTGTAATTCGTCCGTTCGAAAACTTATTTGTGATCTGGATCTTTTTTTATCTAGTTTAATATTGGTTTCTTTATTGTGTCCAGGTTCTGTTGATAAGTCTTTTAATTTTGTATATGTTTTTTGTCTATTTTCTACTTCAGTTTGAGTGGTGTGCAGTAAATCAGATTTTAAATTTTTTACAATTGGCTTTTCTAATTTCTTAGATTTTAAAGTGTAAATCTCATTACTTTCCGATTTCTCTGACTCATTGCTTCTTTTTATTATTTTATTGTTTTTTATCTCGTTTGTGGAAAATTGATGGAGCGATGTATTCGACGGGATAGTAGATTGCTCAATATTTAATTTTTTTGTGCTATTTATTGGCAAAATAGGTTGTGCTTTATCACTTGTAACACTTTTTACCAATTGGAAATTGTAGTTACTATTATCATTATATGAAGCTGGATATTTATTGTATAAAATTTCATTTTCTTTTCTTGAACTTTTCGTTTCATTGGTAGAAAGTATATCTGTATTTTTTACATCATTTTTAGAACAAAACGGCTCGATTTTATCACTCGTTTTATTAGTGAAATCTCGTAATTTTTGTGTAATATCATATAGATTACTTGAAGCATTGATAGAAAATTGGTTAGTATTTGTTGTGGTTATAACATTAATTTCATCATTTTCACCTGACGTGGGAATAGATAATGTTTCGGTATTTCCAATATTTTTTGCATTTTTATCTTTATAATGTAGCTTATCTTCCTTATCCTCTTCTGTATATAAATTTGAATTTGAGTAGTTTCCAAAATGTTTTGAGTGCGTGCTATGTAATTTTGTAGTTGAACTTAAACCTTCGTCCGTAAAATACATACTACTATGTGAAGAAATGAGGTTGGAGTAAGATTTATAAAAGTCCACCTTATTGATTAATTCCTCTTTACCTAGACTTGCAAAGGAATTTTCTGCAACCGAATTATTTGTTCTATCCTTGGGTTTATCGTTTTCGTTGCAATGAATTTCTGTTTCATAATTGTCGGTATTTGTTGTATTATATTGTTGGAGAGTAATTGTATTTGTTGAAAACGTTTTTGCATCTTTCTCAATCATACAGTCATCACTAAATTCTTTGTTAATGTTTGACCAATTTATGTTTAATCTTTTTTCATCTATCGATTTATTAACTAATAATGTTGCAGATGGTGGTTCTGGAATGATAGAATCGTTTGAGTGATTTATACTGGATGCTAATGAATCCTGCATTAAATTCGTTTCAAGTGAAGTTTCTTTACTTTCACTGAGCGATGATTCGTATATTTGATCTTCAGCCATGTAATGAGTTTCTGACATTTTTTCGATGTCTGTGGTTATCAGCGTTTGTTCAATTAACGAACACGCTCCAGGATTTCTTTTTAAAGTCAAATTCGGGTTGCATGTTAAAATTTCACGATCTTCTATGTACTTGCCATCATCTGATACATTTAAGTTTGCGTTTAACATATCGTCTTCAGTGTTTTTAGTACACGACACGTCTGCATATTGCTTCAGAGATATGGAGTTCAGTGTTTTGGGCGCCACGCTTGCATTTGAATTTTCAATTTCTTCTTCCAACAAACATTCGTCTAAATTTTGCGAAAACAATTCTACACTATTAATATTCCGATTAATAAATTCATTTATACTATTCATGCGCATAAAATGCTCTTTGAAACTTTCTTTTTCATGTATCTCATTGTAACATATCTCTTCCTCGTTTGTATTTATTTCTGTTGAGTTCAAGCAGCTTGTAAATTTCAATTCCATAAGCTTTTCATCAGATTTATCTACAGTATTATTTAAGTACTTTATTTGCAGATTACTTGGAATCACTTTTGGGGATTCATTTTCACGATAATGATTCTGTTTTGATAAAGGTCGTTCATTAATTTCATTTTCTTCTTGAAGTATGTTACTCAGGCTAAAATATTCAGAAGGTGAATCAAGATTGCTTTTTGAGTCAAAATATTCTTTGTGTACGTTTGAATTCTTAATTTCATTTTGTTGCGTGAGTAAATTATTATTAAATTGTTTGCACTGTTTTAGATTGAAGTACATGTAGGTTTTGCTAGTCCTTTCAGTAGAGCTGCTAACAGACTGTTCTTCCGAAATTATGTCCAGGAATTTTGATTGAAGGTTATTAGTAACATAAGAGTATGTACCATAATCTGACACAGATTGATTATTTATCTCTTTTCCCTGGTCATCTATGTAGCATATTTTTTCCAGTTCAACGCGCGTTAATAATGCCTTTTTGAATTGTAACGCTTCTTGAAGCAATAGAGCAGTCGACTTATCATCAAATTCACTCTCTTTTGATGCTTCTGTGCGACTTGAAGTTGGTGATATTATTCCATCTTCGTCGGTTTCCCTAGGAACTTGATATTCATCAGAGTAGCTAAATGACTTTTCTGGATCGTCCTCTACGTATATGTTTGTTAACGACGTGAAATTTTCTGCTAGCGTTAGTTTTTTATTAACATCTTTTCCTTTAGAGGAGTCAGAGGAAATAGTATAATATATCCTTTCAGGTATTCTTTCATATGTAATGTTAGAAGGGTATACAGTTCTATTATTCTTAAGAACCTCTAACTCATGATTATTTGAGAGAGATATCTTAGATTTAGATTTCTCTGTGATTGAACAACAAGGATTATTTATATCACTTATACTACATGTATTAAATATGTTGGAATAACTTTGAATGGACACCATGGAACTTTTGCCAGATTCATCACTTTCATACTGTTCAGAGCTATTGGAAGTTATTCGTTGTATTCTATTGTAACTGTTTCTGGTGCCAGCGCTAAAATTTACTTTGTTTCTTCTATTTTTATTCATGCTGTCAGTTTCGGTTGTCACCGAGACAAGTGTGTCCACAACGTTTTGGCAAACACTATTTATGTTATTGTTTTTTTTCTGTTGTTTTTCTAACGTTTTTGGCTCAATATTTTGTAACTCGTACATACGAAGAACATTATGTAAGCTTTCTAACTTTTTTTTCACTTGGTACAAGGCTTCTTGAGATGTTTTTATGTATTTGTTTTGTTCACATAACTTAGAAATTAGCATGTTTGAGGTTGATTGTCGCGGAAACACGTCACTGGAAAATGCTATATTCCTTCCTGGAGGTAATAAACGTTTATCAATCATTTTCATAACCGGATAAATTGTATTTGTTAGCTGAAAACAATCATGATTATTCTCTTGTTTGTTATTTGTTTTTTCAACGATCTCCTTATTCTTTGTGTTTTCCTGTTTGTCACTTTCGTTTTCTTTAAAGTTTTGGCTTAATTTAGTTAGGTCTTTTTGTTGGATACATCCTTCCTGCTGTAAGAGAGTCGAACGGTTTATTAATAATCCGGTATTATTTTTTCTTACAGTTTATCTTGCTTGTTTGTCTTTACCTGTGCATCTGACCAAATACTTCTAATTGAGGATCCATCGCTAATTTCAGAAGAACTACAGACCAAACCAAGATTTTTATTGCTATCATGTAATTGTTTCAAATATTGTTTGCAATCATCCATAGTTTTCGCGAATTCCTTACAAGCACCAGTCATTTGTTTGGTTTCAGCATGCTTCGATTCCTTTTTCATTTTTCTTGCTGATTTATTGTTTTTTCGTTTCGAAAATTGCGGAAGCGATATAGCGTTTCTATTTTGCACTTCTAAATTGTCACTCCTCAATGACTCGCGATACTTCCGATTGGTAATGTTATTAAACACAGGATTTATCCTGTAATTAAAATTATCTTAGTATGCCAATAACGTGGTTGAGAGCATATCTGGAAAACATGTTTGTCTACTTTAAAGATTTGTCACTGCTACTTTTGGACGATTTACTACTGTGCTCTATTGGCAAATTCTCTTGTTGAAGATAAGAGTACATGCTCTTCTTCTTTGCATCAAATAATTCTGTTAGACGATGTTCCGATGGGTAATACTTCAAATATGAAACGTACGATTCGTTTTTCTTGGGGCTAAAATAAACGAAACTTACGTTCTCAATCAAGTTACATTTTTCTCATTTGTAATATCTTATCAGGAATATTGTTTAGAAGTCAAATCCTTATGAAGAGAGTAAACATATCATTTTTATGAACATTGAAATGAAATAGCCAAACGAAAAAGTAAAACGGAGGAAAACAATGTACAAAGAAACAATTATACGACGACAATTGTAAAACGTGTTAATACCTTAATAATACATGTTTTATCCAATTATTGCGGTCATTGGGATTGGACAAAGTCAGTCGAAGATTTCGTAAATTTTTCTTGAAGTTTGATTTCTGAACTTGATGAGGCAAAGGCCAAGCACCATATTGGAGTTTGTATGTTAAAACGTTAACTTTTAACTCGAGGTCTTCCACTTTATATCCTACTTTGTTAAGTATGTCGTTATCTACAGCAGTGTTATTATGGTATTTCCCTTTGGAATATATTATACGTGCTAATATGGTGCATACGAAGAGTGCGGCTAATACCTTAACATATTAACATCATTATTAAATATTATATATTTTCTAACTATGTATATAATTTTGCCTTTCTTGCTTTCGTGAACATAGCGTTCAGATATAATAAATCATATCATTTTCAAGAACTTACCTGACCGCTATGTTCATAGACTTCTAATTCGATATTCATTTCAAGTCAAAAATAATAATTTTCTGTACCCGCCAGATTATGCTTTCGTTCCTCAAACAGTCAAGAACGTCGGTTACAATCTCACTCCAAATGTAATTTGCGATTGCTCTGGGACATTCTTTCCAGTCAATTTCACAGATCATTTGTACGGGTTCAAGATTTCCGCCTGTTTACATCAATTAGGTGCTTTAATAATGTATACTTTATGCAAAAGTTTTGTAACGAAATTGCTTTACGATGAAACAGATTTGTTTTTTTTTTTTTCAACTAGAAACATTAAATTCCAATTACGACAGATAATTAGAAATAAACAGATCTTACCGAATTGCCAATGCATTTTAGAAATGGTTGTAGGTTGTGTTAAGTGTATTGTAAAAATTCAACTATAGGTTTCTAAATGTCATCAGTTTCTTCCTATAATTATTTAGGATGTGTACTATGTGAAATGTGATAGATTGAAAGAAACCTCGACTGGCAGTTGTTTTTTCTCGACGTTATAAATAGCGATAGTGTATACAAAGTGTGTGCAAAATTATTCTACTTTCATGCAATTAATAGTTTATATTTTTTCATCTTTAATCGCAGGTGCTAGGAAAAGTCCCTACTATCTCTATCGATAAAACGGATGGTTGTCAAATGTATTTGAGCTCACAGTCAATGGATGTGGAAGTTATTAGTAGCAAGTCTAGCGAGATGAATGTTATGGTACCCCAAGCGAACGGAGATTATGTAAGATTTAGTGAATTTAAGTATACGTCGAATGAAGTATTTTCAACGATTAGGTTTAGTAATATTTTTGTATGTTCGCGTATCAATTGTTTTCTTCATATTTTTACAGTCGGAGTACCCCGTACCGGAGCAATTCAAAACAACTATCAGTCCGAAGGGTCTCAATACAATCGCGGTCGGTTCACTTGGCTAAAGCGTCGGTAGTTCGATTATTCATAGCCTACACTAAACGTCTGTCTAAGAGTACAGCTCTCATTAGAGATATCATCTTCAGAGGATTCGTCGAATTATTATTTATTGCTTCTTTAATTAATTTAAGAATTAGAAGAAGGATGGAGGACTAAAGGAAGGCGCGAGTACAGTTTCGAAAGCATAGAATTAAATTAGATAAATCGATTGAACATTTTAACATTACAGCCCTATCTCATTTCGACAGCCATGCGCGTTTCGTGAAGATCACCGTTTCTGTTCAGGTTGAAATTGAAATCATGTTGAAATGACGCTCAATTAAACTCAATTAAATTATTAAATTTATATATAAAACAGTCAACCATTCGATTCTCTGCGACCTGATGTTTTGTAATATAGTGGTAATTAGAATTTTAATGATTGTGATTCGTCTAGCAATGGTGATAATGTTAAAACATAGAATCGACAGTCTTCACGAAAATATTATTACGCACGCTGGTGCTTTGAGATTAGGAGACTGTAGGTTTGATTAAAATATAAAGGTATGGACAAAAGTTTTTCTACCTTCGAATTGGACCTTTTATACATTTACACCATTTTTTATCGTGATCCAACTTTTGTCCACACCGTTCGCTTCTTGAGACTATCCAGTCGACTCACCAAGGAATTGTAACACGCTATTATCGGTGGGAGAAGAGCGAGTGCTGCACGTATACACAATTTTTGAGAAAGCACAATCAGGAAGCATTCACGAGTCATTTATAAAGTATTAAGGATTTCATATAAGTAATTCGATGTATTATTTCTAGACTGTTTTTTCTTTTTCATAGTATCAGCTCATCTTCACGTTTTATTTTTAATGTCCACTTCACGTTTTCGTTCACGTATAATGTATCAGTTGAGAAATTATTTCATGCCTAGTACACAGTTGTGGTGCTGTACGTCCTGAATTCCCATGACAATTATACCAGTTTGAGGTTTTAGTTCCCCAGTCTTCCGAGTTTATAAATGTTCGTGATGTGTAAATAGAACGGAATGCTGATTTTATTTTACGAATGATAATTGTTCGATTACGTGCGTACATTTGAGAACGTTCAGATTCCAAGGATACGCGTAGATAAAAATGATCAAAAAAATGGTTGTGCAAAAAAAAAAAAGGTTTCGGTGGTCCAGCTGTGAGGAAGGAACACATTGAACAATACATGAATTGTAAACTCGATATTGAACTTAAGAAGCGTGTTGTTTGAACGTGACGTAAATTACATTGTGATTTGTACCATTCGGTATATTGTGCTAATCCTAGGTATAATCTAATATTAAAGGCACGATCTAGAATAACAAGATCATAATAGAGTAACAAAGAATCTAGCAGTTCGATCCTTTTTACGAAAGAAACAAAGGAAAAACTGGAACGGGATACTACTTTCATTTTTTTATCGTTCATACGATATTAAACACGTTTGGTTACAGAGTAATGATTATTTAACCGATATTATTTACTCTAAGGATCGCACTGCCCCTAATGCAGTAGACTCTAACAACCTTCGTTTTAATATCGATAGGGTATTATATCGAAAATAATTAATATTTATTTCTGAATATGATTTTCAGTGCTATTTCTAATTGTCCTAATAAAACAAATTAATATACCAAATGTTTAAAATTATTCGAAATACAGTAAATTCTCTACAAGAGTCAGTAAGTTTGGATTCTACAAGTGACAGTATAGATGGTCCTACGCCTAGGTTGCGTCATTGCTGCGCCCATGTTATCTCGCTCGCAGTCAGTCAAGCGTGTAACGCTACACCAGTCGCGGTTTCCTTTACGAGATTTCACGGCTCGACAAATCATAATAGAAAAATATAATTTCTTTAATTTTATTTTTTTTCATCTGGAATTTTTTTTTAACATGTTAGTGAGATTTTTCTGATGAAAATGATATCAAATACGATATAATTTTAACAACATTTACTTATTAACACTGTCAGGTTGCTGCCAGGCGGCCACAAGAAAATACATTTTAAGCATAGGATTATAGTATTATGCTTCGTGGTATCTCGATTATAAATCGGTAATTTTATTTCTCGACCAATATTTCTTCCTCACATTTTTCACTCGCACGAGAGTTCTCTCGAGAACACGCTACGTGTTTGCGAAGCAACTGTCGACAGCAATACGATTTCGTATCCAATCGAGGGAAAGTCGCAATATATCAACTCTCAGAGAGTTGAGAGATACTCTCAGACAGTCACTCTCAGACGCACTGTTCACTCGCGATAGATACTCTCGAGAGCAACTCGCGATAGCTTTACTCTAGCTTTGTTTTCCTCGATGAACGTACAACGACCCTGGCTCGCGTTTCTTATGTTTGGCTCGCAAGAAATATCACGAGTTCTAAGAAGTTAAGGCCTAAAATTTTTCCCAGAACAGTTGCGAGCGTACAGCGATCAGAAATCGGGCAGGACGACACGTCCTCAGTCAGTGTTTACGAGACAGTCGAACGAGCGCGTCGAAGAACGACGCTTATACCGTGCGACCGTAGGCTTGTAGAGAATACAGGGCTCCCTCGAACAAGGCGATTTCGATTATACGCGGATTTCCAAAAAATTTACGTAGTTAGCGTACCTTTACAATTTCCCTTATCACGACGAATTAGATAGGTTAGGTTAGATAATGCGTATTCGTTCGCGTGAACTAATTCCTCATCAATTATCGCTGCGTACAAGATGCACCGACACCGGATTCAAGTACACAACGAACAGCCGAACTTGGGAGAAGAATCAAACGATCAGTGTGTTCCTGTGAGCTGCATAGCTGCAGTTTCGCAGTATGTATATGCGTGAATAATGTAATTAGATAATAAGTATGTATGTATATAATTGAATATAAAGGAGGACATACGCATTACCGATTAGATTAATTATTGCTGTAATTTCGTTTTATTGCATCCTAAGTTTATTTTTGTCGTAGTAAGATGTGTTATAGTTATGAAACCACAACAAATCAGTTTCTTACCGTTTTTCCCATTTTCTGGGGAAACATTGTTTTTCAATAGGCTTTTAAACGCGACATACTTCGTTTGTTATTATTTTAACAACAATATATGGGAATTGAAAATATTGAGGTGGTTTTATGGTTATAACACACAGTGTATATTCGTATAAATATATGCACATGCACCGGAAGTGTATAAATGTACTTCAGTTTTTCGTGAAGGAGAGCGGTGGTTCTTAATTACGCGAATTTGCATCTACGAGGACAGTCGACTTCCCTAATTCTTGCGTCGTTCGAAGAAACACTATTTTCTGTTGCGAATTTTTATATACTGCAATTTCAATTCTAATAATATATATTTTAGGAGTTTATAATTTAGCAATTATCTAGGTCTATTTATTAGAATCAGAATTTTTATATACTGCAATTTGAATTTGAATAATTTATGTTTCAGGAGTTTATAATTTAGCGATTATCTAGGTCTGTTTATTAGAACCAGGATCGTCATGTTAGCATTATTGTTAACTGTATCTAATATTGTTGGTTTTAGTTGAAACATTTCTCTCGTATTTCTTATCTCTTGATACAAATCCTATATCTAATCTTCTTTTTTTTTTCTACGTTTCAGGGTGTCACGCGGTGATTGTGTAAATGTAGCTCGCGAAAGTGTAACGGTATCGGTAGTGAATAATTTTTTTCGTGATACCCTCGAAATTTTCGAGGGCTACACCGTAATAATCACGAAGGAGTTTTCCAATTTGGAGGACGCGTTGCGCACAATGAACGAACCAGATCCTTGCTTACCGCTGATTCTACCACCAAGATATCGACTTCGTGATCTCATCTTGGGGGACTATGCCTTTAACGACGACGGAGAACGGTGAGTGAATTTTCCGATCCATATATTTTTCCACAAACGTGCGACATAATGAACGTGAACGTGTTCATATCGTGGTGTACGTGTATACTCGTAAAATTTCGCGAATAGGAAGGTGTTTATCTGATAAATATGTGCTTAGAGTTGAGGTGGGTGAGGAACGTCGTTACACTGTTTTCACCTCAATTTATTCAAGTATAAGTGTATTAGTAAACTTACTGACTCTTGTAGAGAATTTACTGTACTTTGTCCAGTTTGGTGGAGAATATCGTTTAAATGCAATGGAAGTTTACCTGTGTTTTTCTGAATTTCAAAAATTCAGGCAGAATTGTAATTTATCAATTTTCACAATTTTGTTATAAATTTATACTTCCGACAATTTGTTATAACATTGCATATAACAATTTATACGTTCTCACTATACAAACTCGATTTCTTCGAGAGAGATAAATCATTTCGATAAGTACTAGTTGTACTTTGTCCAGTTTGGTGGAGAATATCGTTTAAATGCAATGGAAGTTTACCTGTGTTTTTCTGAATTTCAAAAATTCAGGCAGAATTGTAATTTATCAATTTTCACAATTTTGTTATAAATTTATACTTCCGACAATTTGTTATAACATTGCATATAACAATTTATACGTTCTCACTATACAAACTCTATTTCTTCGAGAGAGAAAAATCATTTCGATAAGTACTAGTTGTACTTTGTCCAGTTTGGTGGAGAAAACGTATAATATAATTTATTTCATGGTATTGTAACAAGCAAACGTTGAATACATTTTTGATTCGTGTAAAAAGAATTATTTAACACGATAAATTTAGTTGTACTATGGTTATTTTTAATCTACGACCACAGGTCAACCTGATTTTTAATCCCTACGAAATTAATTTAACCACGAGTAAGTAACGAGAACGCTAAAACCTATGTTTCCAATGAAGAATATTGTAAAAATGTATAAATTGTTATATGCAATGTTATAACAAATTGTCGGAAGTATAAATTTATAACAAAATTGTGAAAATTGATAAATTATACCGTGTTACGATAACGGAAATTTCCCGCGAAAATTTCCCGCCTGACCTAACCGACGATTTTGCTAATGAGTTTGGGGAGAGGGTACCGCAGTTATATAAGGACCCGCCGATGTCCTGCGAACTTATTCACCCTTTATACTGGGCCCTAGACACTTCGCGGCGTATTTTCACCTGAAGGTTCTGAGACGTGAATAGAGTGGTCGGGGGCTACTAGCTAGCCTAGGTCCACCCTGTACACACTCAGCCTTCTTGTAACACTTGTATACATTAGAATCAATTAGAATTTCAATACAATAGACTGAATAACAATTCATTTTAACTAATACCTATTAGAAATTTTCCTTTTAAAACAAATATAAATCATTTTACCAATTACTGGTACTTGCTAGACATTTAATATTAGACTTTACATATTCTCCTTTCGGTTCTTTTAAATACAATCAAATAATTTCTTCAATTAGAGATACTGACTTGGGATACTCCGCTTCGAATAAAATATTTCGAAATTATTTTGAAGGTTTAGGAAAACAAACATTTGAATTTTAGTCATCGTTGTTCTTCAGACTTGTCGAATAGGATATTGAAATGACTTTGAGAGGTTGCTTTTTCGTTACAGCATAACAATCAATATGTACTTTTCTTCCAGCAATTGAAATTAATTTGAAATTTTTCATATATTTTCTCTGATATTGAATTTTGTTTACTAATAATTTACCATCCAAGGAATTTGCATGAATTGCATGTTAAGTAGTTAGTTGATTTATTATTGTATATTGTGAGCTGATTTGGAACGAGTGCACTATGCCCACCCTAAATTAAACCGTCTCAGTAGTTTACCGTAATTAATAATCTATTTTCGGAATTTATACGAGAATTTTTGAATTTTAGTAAATACTAGAGTTAGTGCATCGCGTATTGAAATAATAGCTCCATCCCTAGTTCGTTTACTATTGAATATTTTTACGCGTTTAACTTATGCTCCTCCCCAATTCTCGTCGCGTATTTTATTCAAATTTTCTTATATTCTAGAATCGAAAAAGATACGAAGTCGCGTTTTTTCTTTTGATTCTTTCAATTTTTCAATTGCATTACGCATTATTGCAATAATTTCTATCGTTACATTTAATTCTAATTGTTTAGCAGCTTTTCTGCTGCTATCGACCCTACATTTTACTGACACTTGTCGAACCGACCCTACATTTTACTGACACTTGTGCAATCGACCCTAAATTTTTTTTTTTTTACGTGGAGGTAGGCCGACTCTATGTGATAAACAATTGGCAACCAAACGGTGGCTCGCTAAAGCGATATATTATGAAAT